ACATTGCATACTTGATAGAAACCATTACTGTATGGTTGACAAACATACCCAAAGGTATGGCAAAAATCGGTGTTACATGTAATTACGCCTCTTTAGAAGTTATTTACATTGATGAAGTTACCTGCGTACATTGCGGAATGGAATAAATGATAGTAAATGATAGTAGATGGTAGAAGTGTAGACGTGAACGTACATGTATGTCTTGTTTGAACACCTGTAGAAGTTACGTCTACACCAGCAAAAAATACGTCAATACATTAATTAATATCAAACTTACAGATAAGTCTCGTTTAATCTTTCAAACAAAATGCAACGTGACATCCTGAACAGTGTCAGAGGCAATTAGCTGGCAATTTCTGGTAAATAATTTGGTTAACACTTATATTTTCACTTTTAATTCATTCGAGTTTTTATGACACATTATCATTCCAAACAAGACCAATTTAGCATTATGTAAAATATTTGGCAACTGTATTTAGAGATTTTACTCAGGCTTGTTTCACAGTTTGTTGGACAATTTTGTGTTTATGAATATTTTTAAGGTGATGGTAGGATGGGCAGTCCTGGGTTTTCGGTTAAACACTGAACATATAATAACAATAATAATAATACTGGTAACAACAACAACAACAACAACAATAATAATAATAATAATAATAATAATAATAATAATAATAATAAATTTATTTTGAGTCTAAAATCCATGCTAACATGTTCAGAAGACTTCGTTTACATATACATAAAACAATTACGAATCAATTTACGAATCAATTATTAGGAATAAATACATTAAAAATCACAGAGCTTAATGACAAAAAATTAAGAGTATTCTAGATAAAACATGTATTTTCACATAAAAGCACTTACATTACATAACTAAAATATGTTTGTTAAGAAAAAATAATCAATTTTAGGTTTAAAAAAACAGCCTTATTTGACCATAGAAAAATTATAAGTAGCACTGCCTACATATCATAACAGTGAATCAAAAATGATTGTCCATACAAGTGAAAGTGATAAGCAAGAGGGAAGTAGAAAACACCAGCTCCTTATGGAGAAAGGACTCATGAAGAGTGTGACACAGCCCAATGTAAGAATAATCACATGAGGTAATAAGAAGCAGAATTTCGAAAGGAAAATTACTGAAGCTGCTAAAGTTAAAAACTGAAGGACCCAATATAACTCAAACTCAACAGATTGCACTGCAGCTTTTATGAGCTGATTGACAAAGAAGCAAAAAAAAAAAAAAAAAGGGTTTGAAAAGATTATGCCTCCCTCAAACTGTGAGGGTTGACAAGCCTTAGAATCAGTGTAGGAATAAGGGCAGGCCGACCGACATCGGCATTGTAGAAAGTACGGGAATGTGTTAACCCCTGTGGTTACCTGTGATTGGAAACCACTTGTCTGTCCGACAGGCACCATCTACAGTCAAGAGACGCAGCTCTCGTCCAGAGATATCATCTCCGGTCACTTGGCGCAGCCATGTGGGTGCAAGGTTGAGCTGATCTCCGGAGATGGAATTTGCTCTACTAACAAGATCTTGGTAGGAGGATATGTTGTCAGAACTGGGGGGGGGGGGGGGGGGGGGGGGGGAGGATATGCGTCTCTACCCATCCTTAGCGGTGACATAGAGAGTGGGATAGCCGCATAGCCGCTGGAATTAACGAGAGTATAGCCGGGGAATTGAGGGTGCCAGTTCTGACAGAGGGGTGCTCAACCTGATATAGTCAAGTCAAAGGATGCCGATGCTGAAGGGATGTTAGGTAGGATAGGCACTTATATAAGGATTATAATGCCCAGAAGCACTTTAGCCCTCTCTCACCATTTTGAAGCGGCTAGAGTCCAGTCTTACTTTGATGCAGACTTTGAGTCTAGGCCTACATCTTTAAAAGCCAGATGGGCAAAAATCCTATATGATTTGTTTACGTTTGAGAAAAGTCCTGGTGACAAGCCACAAGTGAAGAATAAGCCGATAAAATGTCAGCCTTCTCCAACACAGCAGGTTGCGTGGACAACTCCGACACCAAGAAGCTTTATCTGATCTGCTGATGAAAATCATTGATATTTCCAGGCTACGAAGGTCCACACTTGCTTGAGGTACAGTGAGGACCAGCAGAAAAGGACTTCCCAATACTATGAATGCAGAGCTTAAATCAGTTAAAGAATTGGAAAGAGGTCAGGCTATCCATATGTAATATATGCACAGGGTTTATAAAGGTTACGAAAACATTATGATTGATTAATCTAAGTCTAATGAAGTTATTCCAATAATATATTAATTCTGAAAGTGTTTTTATAATTGATAAATAAAAGTTAAAGGGGGTGATTTCAATATTATCTTAATCCTTCCTTTGTGCTAATCCTTAAGTGTGTTATCTGAATTTGCAAATGTGTCTTAAATGTTATCCAGAGGTCCTTGTTTGTAATTTTAAGTCTAAGATACCGACTGTTGCATTTGGCGTTGTTGGTAAGCTGTGCTTGAAAAACCTAACTACGCCGGTCGTAAATAACATTTTCTCAAGTTTTTGTATGTTTATCAAACTGATAATTTCAAAGCAAAGTCAGAAACTCTTCATTGTTGTAATCTGAGAATCATAATATGTTTGTGAACATCTCCATTCACTAAGAAAGATAAGCAGTTTTAGATGACACTGCAAGCTGGAATTTACATCATTTTGTAAGGCTAGACTTCATAGCTGATTAATTTTCTAACTTTCTCTCTTGGATCATAGTTGGACACTGTAGGATTCTCTCCTGATCAAAGTCTGAAATATTAATGATTGTTTATTAATAGATTATGAAAAGCAAACTGGACTTCATTTTGTTCTTGTGTAAAACAGAAAGAGACAGACTTTACACTGGTACATCAACAATGAGGTATCAAATGTCCGCACTGATCATTACTGGTGGAACGTCCTCAAAATAAAATTTGGAACAGGCAGACTGAAATTTAAGGTGCTTTCCAAACTTGTAAAAGCATGTCTTTGCTTAATCCATGGTAATGCAGATGTTGAGAAAAGTCTATCTGCCAAGAAGAGGACAATCACTCAGTACAGAACCCTACTCACTTCCCAATCAGTCAATGGTCTGAGGTTTACCAATGATGTAGTTACAAAACATGAAGGCAAGCCACGGTGTTCCCATCACCAAGCCTTTGGTGAATCAGCCAGATTAGCTTTTCAGAACTACAAAAGGCGTTTGGAAGAAGTAGGAAGAAAGAATCTGCAAAGAAAGCAAGAAAAGCAGCTCAGGAACAGCAGCACAAAAACTAGCAGAGAGGAAATGGAAGCTTGACAATAAATATGCCACATTTTATGTTTAGGGAATATAAAACATTTCAGGACTTTTCAGAAAGATTACTGTTAGACTGTATGGACAGGTACAATTATCAAAATTAATGCTTCACAAATAGTATCCTATATAACTTCATTAGCCTAAGAACAACCACAAAGAATTGGCAGTCTGAACAGATGTGTTTTAAGTTGATATTTTCATACTATAAAACGGACATAACAAATATCAGAAGCTATAACATGGATGTTGTAAAGGAGAAAGATCCTAAAAATGAAGTAAGCAGTATTTGTTTAACTATACTGACAGTCAATGAAAACGCATTATTTATTAATCATATAATATTTATGTTCCTTTGGCACATTGAGAAAATAACAGTTTTCGTGTGAAATATGACCCATTATTCAGTCACACAAGGTGAAATAAAGGTCAGAAAAGATCATTAGATTGGAAGGTCACGTGATCAAATGTCTTTGGTTCCGCCCAGCCTCCAGCATCCCCAGGGCCCACAGTCACTCTTTCAGTGTCAGACGTGGCATCACTGAACTTTTTGGTCATGTGTCATACTGGATTTGGTGACTACCTTAAATAGGCTTAATTAATCACCATATATTGAACCTGATTAATTCACACCAATCACGAGACAGAAAAACACATGATTTTGTAACAGCTGATCACAAAATCGCTGAAGCAGAAATTTTAAAATCCGAGTGGTCAGTCCAGTGCATTTGTTGTTTATATGGTTGGAATCGATTCTCGGTAAAAATGTAAAAGAAAGTTTTCTGATGCGTTTTTATCGACTGTCAGTATATGTGCAAAATTACCTTCACACTTAAATCTGTTGCCCTGTCTTCTGGGACATACAACTAAATAGTTTCAGCAAAAAGTACCATTAAATACAATCCTTAATAAAAAGAATTTTGTCACAGTTCAAAATCTGATTATACTGAAAACTCAGGTAAGACTGAACTATCAAAATGATGCACTGCCCAGCGGGCAAATTATGTTGTTTTAACGTTGAAACAACGTTGAACCATAACGTTGAAAAGACATTGAATAAACGTTGGATTTGAAAGTTGTTTCAACCTCAGATAACAACGTTGTATCAACGTCAGAAAACAATGTTATATCAACCCCACCCAGCGGGAAATTTGCCTGGATGTGTTTAACAGTAGGACATGTTTGATGGCTAAATATATGTAGGGTATAAATGTATGGCCATTAATTAAGTTAAATAAGTTAAGTTAAAATTTCCAAGGTTTAGATTAATATATATATATATATATATATATATATATATATATATATATATATATATATATATATATAACAAGGTCACAGTCACCTCAACCTGTCTATTTATAACAGGTTACCAAGAACTGTTAACTCCATCACATTTACAGCAACTTATGCATCCTAGTGTTAGCTGACCTTGCAAGCAATTCAGTTTATTGGAATGTATTTCTGAATAACAAGTTAAGAAAATTCACTAGTTAACTAAAGACACAAAACAACTGTCACTTTTACCTTAAACCATTTTGTTATTATTTTGATAAATTTATTGACAGTATTGATAAACAAAGTATCACGTTTTCAATAATTAATACTTTAAATTACAATCCATAACTGCAAGGTTGTGTCATTGACCAAAATACAACGTTGAGTCGACGTGGCTGGATCAACGTTGATTTAACTTTGAATTTAGGTAGATCAACGGCAATTCAACGTATCAACTTGTTTTCAACGTTGATCCAACGCAACTATGCCTGCTGGGTTGTTTCCAGCTTAATGCCGCTGTTTCCCTGTTGGTCTGGGTTAGTAAACCAGCTTGGTAAAAAGGTAAACTTGGAGTCTTGTGGGTGCTCAGTCCAAGTGATGTCTTGTCTTGGATACCATTTGAACATGTACACAATCCTGTAAAAAGCAAAAAAAAAAAAAAAAATGTGGCTGGGAAATAAGTTGGTTATTGGGACACTGATGAGAGGTATAGTTTCCAACCCACCTTTTATTTATTTAAAGGGATAATAACTCTTCGTATGAAATCTGTATTTCATAATCAAAACATTGTGAACAACTCATAGAAATATAATATATTCTGTTTTACCACAAAAACGGAAGTTATAGCTATTATTCTGATATCTGAGCTTGTCTTTAGACCACGTGACCTCCACTGATGGCTATACTCTCTTATAATCTCTTATAAGATTTTAACAAAAAACCAAATTTTTTAGAAAAAAACCAGGGACTAACTTTGAAAGTAAAAATGGATTCATGGACCTTTGGTAAGTATGGGAAAATTGTTGTTTACTCCAGGAAAATTCATTTTTTGGCCAAAACGAAGAGTTATTATCTCTTTAAACTTTATGGCATGTTTTGGGCCGATGAGACCTTCAAAGTTATACTGATATGAATTTCACTGAAAAACAAGGCAGCAAAGCTGTCAAATGCATTGTACAGACAAAAAGCAGAAAATAACTAGTTGCACATGAACTGGGGATTGTGGGAAACCTCTTGATGAGAGCTTAGAATCTTCCTAAGCTAGTTCTGGCTTTTCTGTTAACCTCTCTGCCCACGGTGTAATAAAAATGCAACAGCTGCTGCACACACCACCAAAAATGCTGCTAAGTCATTTCTTGAGTGTACCAAAGAAACTATATTTTTGTGTTTCTAAGAATATGTCAATACAACTTGAGCATTAAATAATAATGTTTTTTTTCTTTTTGAAAGGAAGCTGCATTTAATGCCCATGTTTCTTTCCTGTAAATTTGAAAAGAGTGAGTGACATGGTTTTCCTTTCATGGACACTATAGCGGCAGTGCCTAGAATAGAGTTCTCTTCAATTTTGATGCAATATTGCATAATGCTTAACAGCATAATGACTATTAATTTTTAATGACTAGAGGATCAGAGAGGCCATACCGCCTCTGGATATTGTACCACCAGCTGGAGTAAGCGCATTCGAATGGACCCCCCCCCCAAAAAAAAAAAAAAAAATAGGGACACCACCACCAGTCTTGTGCTTGACAAGCTCTATAAAATGCAATCAACAGAGTTCTCAAAATATGCAAAAAAATATAACTAAAAATGGTACAATCAGGCAGATTTTCGAATTGACCTGTATTTTCCTAACAATGATCACTCCTGTGATTCTCTAGACCCACTTGTTTTCCTTGAATGTGTTGTCAGTGTTGCATATATGCTGACAAAAAAAAAAAAAAAAAAAAAAAAAAAAAAAAAAAAAACTAGCGGCAACACTGGGCATATCTCTGCTAGTTTTGAAGATATGAGGGGCAAGTAAATACGCAAAGCTCAGTTCATGGTGAAAAAGTAGGTCAAAGGTCAATTTCAATGTCACAGTATATGACTTCCTATTCAAGTTCAATAGTAACCATGGGCATTTCTTTGCAAATTTTGGAAATTTAAAGGCTAGAAAACATACAAAAAACAGTTCATCATAAAAAGTCGGTCAAAGGTCAATTTCAAGGGCACAGTTAGATAGCCAGTGTATGACTTCCTATTCAAGTTCAACAGCAACTTTGGGTGTATCTCTGATGGTTTTTGAGATATAAGGGATAGAAAATTTGCATAGATCAGTTCATGGTGAAAATTAGGTCAAAGGTTAATTTCAGGGTCACAGTTAGATTTCCAGTATATGACTTCCTATACAGATTTAATACTAACTATAGGTGTATATCTCTGCCAGTTTTAGAGATATAAAGGAAACATTGGAAAGAGCGGTTCATGGTGAAAAGTAGGTCATATTTCTATTATAAGGTCACAGTTAAATTGCCAGTATATGACTTCCTACTCAACTTCAATAGTAGCTATGGGCGTAACTTTGCCCGTTTTGAAAGTATAAGCTTGAAAAAAGTTGCAAAGTTTAGTATATGGTGATAAGTACTGTAGGTCAAAGGTCAATTTTAAGGTCATAGTTAGATTGCCAGTATATGACTTCCTATTCAAGTTCAATAGTAACTATGGGTGTTTCTTTGCCAGTTTTGGAGATATAAGGGACTTAAATGTTGCAAAGTTCAGTTCGTGGTGAAAGTAGGTCAAAGGTCAATTTTAAGGCCACAGTTAAATTGCCAGTATAACTTTAATAGTAACTATGGACCTATCTCTGCCAGTTTTGGAGATGTAAGGGACTGAATGTTACAATTTTGGAGTTACAATAATATGCCATAAATTTCCTTCAAAAAATTAATTGAAATAAAGAAAAGTCGTTAGTATTACACATAACCACCCAGCGGGCAAAATATGTTGTTTTAACGTTGAAACAACGTTGGACCTATACCGTTGATAAGACATTTGATAAACATTGGATTTGAAAGTTGACTCAACCTCAGATAACAACGTTGTATCAAAGTCAGATAACAACATTGTATCAACCCCAGTTGTTAGACAACATTCTTGCATGAAAAGACATTGAAATGAACTGAGGGTGGGGTATAAAAGTATGGCCTTTAAGTTAAAATTTCCAAGGTTTAGATTAATATATATATATATATATATATATATATATATATATACACACACAGTGTATGTAACAAAAGTCACAGTCACCTCAACCCGTCTATGTATAACAGGTTACCAAGAACTGTTAACTTTATTATTTCACTCCATCACCTTTACAGCAACTTATTCATCTTAGTGTTAGCTGACCTTGCACGGAATTCAGTTTATTGGAATGTATTTCTGAATAACAAGTTAAGAAAATTCACTAGTTCACTAAAGACACAAAACAACTGTCACTTTTACTTTTAACACTTTTTTGATTATTTTGATAAAGTTAGTTACAGTATTGATAAACAAAGTATCACGTTTTCAACAATTAGTATTTTAAAATATAATCCATGTCTGGAAGGTTGTGTCAATGACCAAAATACAACGTTGAGTCAACGTCACATTATGACGGTGTTTCGACGTGGCTGGATCAACGTTAATTTTACGTTGAAATTAGGTAGATCAACAGCAATTCAATGTATCAACCTGTTTTCAACGTTGATCCAACGCAGCTATGCCTGCTGGGCATATTTCACATTTTGCTTTCACCACCACAATGTACTTTTTAATACAGCATAACTCGTAAACCGTATGGAAATAAGAAAAAATGGAGACCACCTTCAGTGTTGGGCTTGACATGCTCTACAAAATGCGAAAAAGAAGAGGTCTATAGCATTTACGGTTCCTGAATTAGAGAAAGTTTTCAGTTTCGGTATCTCCACTCCAGTGAAAATGCACCGATTGACCCAAACTCAAGGAGATGAAAGATGACCTAAAGGGTAACATCTGCCAATAATATTATAGGTTAGGTCGGTGTAGTTTCTGAATAACAGCGCAAATATTTTTTTCTGTAAAAAAATTAATTTTTTAAAAAAGTTTGGCCCGTTCCACCTTGAAATAAAGGTCAAAGGTCAAATCCAAGGGCATATTTGAAATCTCCACATATGACTTTCGGTCAGCCGTTTATAGATACTTTTCCCATAATTCCTTCGGTATGGTAGATAATTAGCATTTAATTTTGCCAATTTTTTGACAAGGGTGCATTGCAAAGAGCGCCGCACCTAGACCCCAGCACCAATGAAGCCCAAATTTAACGTGGGGCGAGTTGAGATTATCGGTGACCTAAATCCAAGAGATGGGTGTGCAGGCCCTTGTAGTCTAGGAGGAGAAGCGGTAACGGTGACTTGGCGGCGGAGCCAGCGGAACGATCCGGACGGGACTAAAACCATGTGTACCGCCAGTGCCAACGCTGGTGGTACAATAAAATAGAAGTATCATGAATATTCAGAAAATGTGACTAGCAAAGGTCTTCGGGACTATGGAACTTCAAAGTCAAACCTTGAAATTGCCAAAATGTAAACAATACAGAACTGTACTGAAATGGGTGTATTTCCATTTTAACACTTTTTTACATAAAACAATTAATTTACTGTACTTTTTAATGATCAACTAAGGAAATTGTTGAGATGTAGAAAATATCAATAGAACAATGTAAAATGTTTAATTTGCTCCATTCTGAGATTCTGAACATAGTAAATTATTAAATCTGACAAACTGCAATGATTTACTTTTTTGCCATTTTTGACACTTAAGTACACAATAGATTAATAGGTTTAACACCATTTTTATGTAATCAACTAACAATATTCCTGTAAAGATGAAAAATTTGTCAAAAGAACAGTTATACGTATCTGAGTAGTTCAATAATGAGACTATAAACATGGGTAAGAATTGAATCTTACGTAAAAGCATTTATAAACAAAACAAGGCATATTACGGCCATTCCACAAAAAGGGGTACAATTTCAAAAAAGAAATGCAGTGATATGACCTTTGCAAAACTGGGGAACTTTTTATATTATTCTGATGAAGAGGTATTCAGAGAGTAGTAGAAGAATTTTAACCCACACCATTACTGTATTTAAAGAAATATGCACGTGTAAACATGGTACAGTATTTTTTCGTTACGGAGGTTAGGTAACATCTAAATTAGGTTATATTTCAATCATGCCAAAGGTTACAGGCTCCATATTTGATTCAGTTATTAAGATTTTCTTGTATTCAAAATATTATTGCCAATTTCTCTTCAATTATAGAAAATGCGGTGCAATCACATTGGAAATAAGTCGCACGTTTTCCATTTAAGAGCATTTTCTTTTATTCTTACATTGACTTAAAAAAGCGTTAAGGAGGTTAGGGGTTACTGAGCAACATTGATTAAACTATGACGGTGTCGTAACTAACCAACAAATTCGACAGAGAACACCATGTATGATAAGGAAACATGAATTCAAATTAGTTGAGGACTAAAAACACTAAAAGACGGGAAAGTATAAACGTTTTCTTGTGGCAAATCAGCTACATGTATAATACCTAAGCGACACGTAGAAATCGTGCTTTTTGTGGCATATAGACCCCCGGGGTTCCTGTCAAAGCAAGTGGTACTACATTAATTGTTGTTCTTTAAGTATAATACATAGGGTCTTTATAAAAAAGGCGAAGAAAAGCAAAATTGCAGATACTTTTACTACCGAAAATAAGCTGTGACAGGTATTATTCAGAATTGTACCCTTTTTCGTGGAATGGTTGTAACGGCATCAAAACTGAACCAATCAAGCTTATTTTCTAACTCGACCTGTATTTTAGTAAGAATAAGCACTCCTGTGAGTTTCACTTCAATAAGCATATTGGTTTTCCTTGAAATGTGTTTACAGTGTTGCATATATGATGAAAAGTGAGAAAACAGCATAACTTCTAAAATAATGGCCAGATCATGCTGATTTTCAACTTGAAATGCGTTTAAGTAAGATTGATTACACCAGTGATTTTCATGACAACAGGCGTATTGGTTTGCCTTGAAATGTGTTAATAGTGTTGAGTATCTGCTGAAAAGTGAAAAAACAACAAAACTGCTAAAATAATGGCCCGATCATGCTGATTTTCGAACTTGACCTGCGTTTTACGAATATCCATCAGCTCTGTAAATATAAACCCAAAAGGTAAAACTGTCTTCACTTATCATGTTTACGCTGAAAGTGCACGACGGCGATGGCGATGACGGTTACGACAGACGCAGGTGACGGCAATATGTACAGACACATCTGTGTCTGTACATAAAAATTATGAAATTTATATTTTTATCACTGAAAAAAATGTTTGGAAATGTTACACAAAATAGAACTTTGTAAAAGGATATACCCATGTTTTAATGGAGAAAGACTTTTCTGCTGGTCTGACCATCCATTACAATTTATTACACACACAAATAAACAATTAAATAAATAAAAAATATACTAGTTTGAATAATGATTTTTTAGTCTGGAGATGAAATCTATATATTATAGAAATATAAATAATAAAACAACAGCTGAAAATGACAAACCACTGAAGTGACACAATATAATTAAATCAACTGGACAGAACAGAGACTCACACATTGAATATAAGTCAGCTACAAGTAGTAGCTGTAGAATATTTATTATTGTTACTTACTTAGGGTCATCTTTCAGGACAACTTGCTTGACAAAGGTCAGGAACTGATCGCAGAAGTTCATACAAACTGCAGGATCCCAAGGATTTGGAATGTGCTAAATTAATAAACTTCTAATTAACTAATCTTGAATTGATTATTCTAGTTTAAATTTTTCAACAAACAATTTTACAAAAAGAGATTGAAATCTTATGATTATTTCAAGGAAAGGTATAATAATAGTGTTTAATATATGCAACTTCTATGAAGTAAAATTTCTTTAAACCTGTAAAAATCTACACATTAAACAAACTGGTGCCTTCAAAATGTTATTAAAGGCTATTACATTCAAGTTACAAGGTAATTCACAATGCTGATACTTCGTTAAAATTTTTTATACTGATACCTTGGCAATGTTGGGCATGTCCAGAGTGCGGTAAGTCTTCAACCGTCTAACCACACCATCATCGTCACGGAAACCACAGATAACCTTAGGAACAGCAGGTAGGAATGACTGGGCCCACCACTTGATCAACTTAAACCTAGACGAATATGGTACTGACTGTGATGAATCTAAGTGACAAAAAAGTTCGTCTGATTTTTTAAGCAGAAATTAGCTTTTTTTCATCATTGTTATCATATATATATAACCAATGAAGTTGTAATACTGACTTCTGCATTTTTGTCTCTATTAATACGAGAAAAGATTTGATACCGTATACCAACCAAAATTGTACCTTTTGAGATTTCTATCCTGATTTGGCTGATATATCTCTCTTGATGTCTTAAATTCTACATAACATTTTTCTTTGGCGTCATAGCAGTCAGTCTTCCCAGCAAACACTGGAAAACAGTGCTATTATATTACACGTCACTCTTATTATTAATACATGGAGCCAGTTTCAGTAAAATATTTTCCCTTTTTCTAAGCAAAATTAAAATACGTATAGTACTTGCCTAAAGTTTATCATGCCAGGTATTTGCAGATTACTCACCAAGAGAATGTTCTTTTAGTCTTCTTCTCACAACAAGACAAAATGCTTCATAATTGTTGACAGGAACACAAGTGTCTGGTTGGCCGTCTGGTTTTGCTAAAGAGCAATTAATTTCAAAAGTGCATGTCCCCATGCAAAACATAATCATTTATAGGCATCAATTAGGATCTTAATTGTGCCATTGTGCCATTGCTTTTAATTGTAACACATACAACTTTGTAATGTTATGTTATACTGTGCTGCAGTCTTAGTGTTAACTGTACTGATGTCTCTGTACTCTAGTGTACTTGGTGTAACTTTTAATCATCTGTTTTGCAGATACAAACAATATATAAAAACAACCTATACTTAAAAAATTCATGGCAGCTATAAAGCTATAAACAGCATTGTTGCAAAACAGAATAAGGATCGAGGTTCAACAGAGCAGATACGTACAAGTATACACAGGTCCTCAAAACTGTACTTTACCTCATGATAAGCAACAATCTTACAAGCAATAAAAACTTATCACACACAGTAACAAATTGCCAACAAGCATAGGTGTAAATGATAAGATGGCTTTTAGACTGGGTTCCCATACCTATAGATCGATTTAACAGGATCGATCTAACTTCAAGGGGTTTCTCGCTAAATTGCTTTTAGCTTAAGCGGCTAAGATGTCTGACACTTCTACTAAAGCTGCTTAACGATAATTAATTGACCCTTAGCAGCTTTTGAAGTCATGAAAGACATCTAAGTTGATTGCAATTTAGTGTGAATTTGGAGATAGATCGATCCATAGTTAGTATGATAGGTCCTGGGAATGGTCCCTTAGATCCCTCAAAACCTACCAGCTACCATGTACTGCTCAAACTTATGGCCCCAGTAGCACATTTCATCCTGCCTCTCTGACATATTCTCCCTCTCGACAATCCTCTCTGGTGTGTCATATTCACACAGGTAATATGTACCATTAAACTTTGTCACAGCTATCAGCCAACCATCTTTGTTCTCATATGGGGTACAAAGCAGCTTGGTCAGCAAGCCCCTCCAGCACACAAAATCAGTATGGAGGCTGAAAACAAAAAAGGGAAAAAAATTACAAAACCAAATAATGCTTAATCTTTTTATTAACACTGAATAAGACAGCAGTTCTTTAAAAATGTTTTTTTATACATCTAGCCCTGCTATGATCAGTAATTGACAAGGATTTGTTGCTTGTTTGAGGACCCAAAAACATACGCAAAGAAATATATTTAATGTAATAGCCAACAAGTGACTCATAATAGCTCAAATGACCAGAATTAATAAAACAATGAAAAAATATAAAAATCTGTCAAAAGATCGCCTTCCTAAGGCTCCTCAAAGGGCAAAAATACGAAATGTTCAGATATGGATTATTATTGTTACATTATCGCTTAATCAAACTGAGTCATCTAAACAGGTTAAAAAATACAAACTAAAAGAAAACTATAAACTTGTCCAAATTTTAGTTGGAGCATTACTTCTCATTTTTTACAACTGCGTGAGGTATATAATCAATGTGCTTTGCGTAACATTGGCTTGCTCAGTATCCTTACTTAGGAGGAAATGCACCATCAGATACTTCATCTTGACCTGGCAACAAAAACTTCTTTCTGTTCACCAGGATCCATCTCAACAACTCGTCAATGTAATATTTGACACTATCGTCCCTTTTCCGAAATACTTTGTAACCATCCCTGAGATTAAAGTTTACATTATTTACATTCTCTGGCATATGAAGCCATTTCAACTGACTCTTATCGTCGTAAAAAAACCTGTCTGCGTCCAGTGAGAAGCAACCGATCTCCTTTGGCTGTTCGTCAAAAGGAAATTTTCCCTCAAATCTCCTGGCAGGATGAACTCGGAAGACAGCTGGTCGTCCATGTGGACTTGAAGTATATTCACTCTTTCTGGCCATATTTAAATGGACATAATAACCCAAATTAAGAATTCAGAAACTAAAATGTGCCAAAGCGATAAGACTTAAAAGACTGCTGGCACGTAGGCCCGGTGACGTAGGCCGTAATCGGAAGCCTGAGAGATGTTGTTTAACTCCCACATCACGCACCCTGAGCTTCAGAGATAACTTGCCACTAACCTCTTCACTATAGCCTATCTTCATCGTGTCAAGTTACCTCTGACAAAAATAGTTTGACCTAGTTTATATAGAATCCATGTTTCAAAATTTTTCACCAAAGTTTGGTGAAAACGCTGATTGGTTGACCGTCAATCGGCAATCCTCGGCTGATTCCGCAAGCTCCATACTAACAACATAGTTATTGTCGAGTGCGGAGACATCCGAGTAGTTCCGAGTGCATAACCGTACACAAAGAAAGCATGGAGTATATCGGAATTGAAACCAGAGCAGTTTGATGCCCTGCATAATTATTTACTGAGGGATGTGTGGGTCTCCCTTCTTTGAAGTGCTAAAAACGGTACCAAGACATTGAACAATTTTCATACATGCATGCACCGTTTCACCAGAGAATGCCCCCATCGAAAATGCTGTGACGTTTACACCACACAGCTCTGCTGGTAAACATTTTTTTTTCAAAATTATGCATAAAATTGTGCGAGCAATAATCAAATATTAAATGTGCAACAAAACTGCACGCGATGAAGCTAAATGTCGAGATGACATCGGCTTGCAAAGCATTCCCTTTTTATACTCGATTGTTTACATCACATCTGCTTGAAAATAATTTTATTTATAAGTTAGACTAAAAGACCACACATCTAGCACTTTTTAATGGGAAAACAAAAACGCAGGGAGATTATAATTACATTACATAAAACTCACCTTTGTGCACACAAAGAGATCGTACGTATTGTGAACTTTTTCTAAATTAAGCTGAGAGAAAGGGCGGCCGCAGGCTTTGATCCATCGTCGACATTCTTCTGCATTTTTTTTCGGTCTCGGAAAAGGTATGAATTTCACACCGCCCTCTAAACGTTGAGGATACCTTGAATCTGAATTGCAGCGGCCCCACTGACATCTTTTTACCATTTTTGGATTAGAAAACTCTAGGTATGTTTCGTATTACCCGCTGCTGAAACACGCGTCATGTGAACGTTGTTTGTCCCGAAAACATGGCGGCACTGAAGCGTGAGAAATACAGCGCGCTGATTGGTTTAGGCGCTGCCGATGATTGACAGCCAGCGATAGGTTAATTATCTACTGAGGGATGATGTATTTTGCGTGCTGCCCACAGGTTACGGCAAGTCCCTGATATTCAGCCTTATCTTTGATTGGTCCGGATTTGAACAAAGCGCGCTTTGACTCGTTCGCGTTCATTGGCTAGATCGTTCAATGAGTCATTGAGTGCGGGCTTTAAATTTGATTGGCGGGCGGCGGAGGCAATCGAATGTGGTCAGAGGTAACTTGACACGATGAAGATAGGCTAATAGTGAAGAGGTTAGTGTCAAGTTATCTCTGAAGCTCAGGGTGACATCACGCGGCTAGAAGGTCGATTCAGAACTTATATAATGGAGTATTTTGCCACCGGAATCCGCAGAGTTCTTTTCACAAAAACTGTACAAGAAAACGGTGTTCAGTTTCAAACACCCGCACTTAGTAATGCAAGGATACAACGCGTAGGGTAAAACATGGCGGTGCTCAGGACGCATTGTCTAATCATAGGACGCAATTGTAAATCTGCATATGCAAGAATCAAGCTCACCTATTTTCACCCAATGCATAATCTGGTTAACTCGTCTCACGCTATACTACGATAGTAAGTCCAATGTTCATCACATAACAATCACCGATGGGATGACATTGGCTTATCACATGACTATCAAATCGACTATTACTTAAATGTACATGTAGGCCTACATTAACTACTCTTGCTTGATTTTTTGTGATGAAACAAATTAGCTAAAAAAATTGTGGGCCGTGAAGATTTTATTCTCTTGTACATATTAAATAGAACAAAATTTTTGTTCATTTAGCAATCAGAATTTTTTGAATAATACATTGATTGTTATGGCGATTGGGAGTCACTCAGTACATTTTGTATTTCATAAATACCCTTGATAAAGAAAAAATACATAATAATTAATCAAAATTTATAAGTAAAAATCTGATTGTAAAAGGTGGGCGATAAAATGAATGCATGGGAGGGTGGGAGGGATATGAAAACGTTGTAAAGAAAACGTCACCTTACCTTTTCTCGTTGGATTTTTCGTTTAATATTAGATGTACTGGTACCTTTGTTTTGTTCGTTTCCGTCCACCCTCCTTTCATACTTTACCGCCAAATGTGCTTTGTCTATTGATATCACATGATTATATGTTCGTGTTTTCCCGATGCAGAGGCCGAAACATAAAGTATGCATTGTCGACTCCGTTGTTCAAATTGACACTCAAGATAGTACGATAGTACCTTGGCGGAGGTAATACAGTTCTGTAAGTGATAGTTTGGCCATTGCTTGTCAATGCAATATACATAGATAAAGTGAAAAAAAAAAATATCGCTTCGATGATATTCGAAACGCAATCTATATTACGTCTCCATTCATTTCGGCTCATCTGCGTGGGGAGGCGTGTGAGAGGCGGAGAGACCATTACAGGATTAGGCGGTCTTCCTTTCAGTCGAGAATCAGCGGATTTTTCAACGGACAAGAATTGTACCCTCTACCAGGGCTGCAGTTACTATTGTGGACATTTTTTGCTGACTGAGAACCAGAACGACTGTCTATTTATCTAGAGACATATTTGTGAATATGTTTTTCACGTGTCATGTTAATAAGCCCATTAATTAAAATTGTTAGCGAAGCAGCAGTGTGTTGCTTTCACTTCTGGTTTCGTTTCACCGTGTCACCTGAAATGTACAAAATACTGACGCGAAATCTAATATGTACAAAAACATGTGAATAATGATAATAATGGGATGACAATAACGAAAAGAAAAAGTAAATAAACAATATAAAATAATAATGATCACATTGTTGATCTTCAATTATGTAAATTAATTCAACAGTCAATACGTTTAAACACATTGAAGTAACCGCCTTTACTTTATTCTTTAAATGGCATCTGAACTAAGTGAAAAGTTAATGTCAAGAACAACATCAAACACTTGCCGGTGGTCTAGAAACCCAGGGTCTCTGCAATAGAGAGTCCGCTATCCATCAGTTTCATACAAGTACGGTTCAAATCAGCGGGACCCTGTATCAAAAGGGACCCTCCCATGACTCGATCATGTATGATAATCGGAAACTGATAATCTATTTCCCAAACAATTTATTTACAACAATTTAATCAAAATATTTCCATCACTTAGATAGCGTATCATAAATTGTGACTGCAGCGGTGACAGCAGACCTTGGCACTTATAGAAGAACGCGTAAAACACGTGCAATAATAAAAGGGCTGATTTCCTGAGTTGTTGTTTTGTATCAAAATGGATGAGATACATTTCAGTGCAAAATCCGACACCAGTTCGAAAGGCATTTCTTACATTCAGTCCATAGATTACACGGACACGGTATCACAAGTGAAAACAATCGACGAAGAAACAGACTGTACTGAAAGACGTATATATTCGTCATTTTCAAAAGCGGCTGTGTTGATACTGCTGGCGCATGCCTGCGAACGCTCTGCGTACTTCACAATCGTTAACTATATGAACGAGTTATGGCTGGTGACTTTCAATTCAACAACGGCGTCAGCAGTAGTAGTTCACATGGCGTTTGTAGGTGAGTCAAAGGTCATGCAGGTTCTTAAAAACGTGACTCGGTGTTTCGGATGTTTTTAAAGCACGGCTGTTTATTTTTATTTTGATTGGCCTTGTAATTTTCACGATAAACCAGGGATAATTTGTATTCGCAGGGGCGTCAGCATGCTTGGGGATATTTGGTGGGACGATGGCTGATACGTTCTTACGCCCAATACCAACGTTAACGATTGGATATATTCTTTTTAGTCTCGGTAAGTTTTAATAACGTAAACTCAAGATCGGTCTTTTAATTCCGTGTGGCAAAACGTAAGGACTCCTATTTTTGGGTTCAATTTGCACTACACAAATATTATACATCAGAAAACATAAGTAGGAGTGCTACCGCATATAACATTCTCTTAATCACGTGGAACTACAATGTACATGTACAACATTGCTCAAAAAAGTTGCCCCCTACCCTATGTTCTTTTATTTACAGATGATGATGATCATGATTTATGATCATGATGACCTCACAGGTGTAAAACTTGTCATAAATAGTCCTTTTTATTCCAGATGCCATATATAACATGATTAATGGTTCAGAAAATACTAAATAGTTGTGACAATATCCATATTTTATGACATATATTCAAATTTATAACATTTTCACATTGGTAAAGAAATATCCATTAAATTGAAAATGTCACCCCATTTACAGACAGTTAGCATTAGGATGTGCTTGTTAATATTATTATTATTCTTTCAGGTCTCATTTTCCTCGAATTTGCTGAACATATTGAGGTAAATGCTCAAATTGAAGAAAAACGTATTTAAGAATTTTGGTGTTCATTGTTGTGTCTTTATCTGGCTCATAGCCTGTGCCTAGCAAATACAGAACGCCATTTAATATTCCCATAACGTCATATTACCAAAAACGTTCTGGTATCGTCGTGGTAACGTTATACTTCTACGATAGCACTGTGTTTGTTGGGAAGTGTCATGTGCTGAAGACATTTTGGCCTCATTATGTCATAATATCTGTACTTTAAATTTAAAAGAAATCATTTTAATCTACAAAATTGTGATCGCAACTTTTAAAACCAACCGTGATATCAGTAAGTGTGTCATCACTTACTGATATCAGTAGGCCTAAGTGTTTGGGTTGTATTTGATATCTATGGAGCGCGCGGTTTAACCTCCAAGATAACAATAAGCAACGGATCATTGATCAATGGTGCGTTTTCATTGATGTGAGCAAATCCAGTCCGTCCTTAAATAACGAGCAGGTTAGGTGATGTTAGGCCCATATTTCGGGTCTCTGCAGGATGTAGTGCACTCAACACGTAGACTTATTACTGAAAGAAAGAGGTGATGGATGGCAATAAAGGAATTCCACTGGATCTTTGTCAATATTTACAGAAAATGTCTTGATAGGATTTTAAGCAGAGATAGATTATTATTATTATTATTATTATTATTATTATTATTATTATAAAGCAGTAAAAACACTCTTGTCACAAACAAATTTGGGTATTAAGCGCTGCCCTCACTCCCCCCTCCTAAGTGAATCGACTGCGGCACTGAATACTCAAAGATCAGGTGCAGGAGAGTGTATTTGTATTCGTCTCTATTATGATTATTCGGTGCTTGCCCGATCCACCTGGCTTCCTTTACTCCTCTGGTTGTCCAGACACTTTATTTTCTCGACTAGTGACACAACGCCACATGCGTCACTTTGAGACAGACGAATATGAAGATGGCCGATCGTTCATCGAATTTTTCACAAAATTGATTAATTTTGTAATTAGTTTGTTACAAAAGAGTGTTTTCATTGCTATTTTCTTCCAAATTGATGAAAAATTTTAAACACTGTTATAATATTAGCATTAAAACCTATCTTAGCACTCCATCAGCACCGCAAAACATCTTGCCGTGGCTGGACTGTCAACGGCTGCTTTGGGACAGGGCTGTCTTGGCGCTGTGTTACCGGTAGTTGGCGCTGAACAGTTACCAGACGAGAAGCATCGAAGGCGATTTATTCATTGGTAAAATTATATATTCAATTTGGGAGCATTTACTTTATTATTATTATAATTATTATTATTATTATTATTATTATTAGTATTATTATTATTATTACATATTTGAATGAAGTTAAAGTTATTTATCAATATACATCTATACTTCAAACAAAAGCAAAATGTTTTCTTTTCTAAAACAGGTTTTATCTTTGGCGCAATGTTGGTGCCATCATCGCAGACACATCGAGCGCCATATTGGAAGGAATTCCAAGCTTACCACTTCACTACAAGTTTCTCATTTCTCCTCTGTCAGGTGTTCTCTCTCTTATTCTCTTTTTTGTGGCACTTTGGGTCAGAGAGCGGACACCATATGAAAAACAAAGGACTTTTCGTAGTTCAGGTACCATGGCTTCAATCAGACGTAGTTCGCGTTTGGGAATGTCCCAAAGTTATATTTTTGTATGTCTGCATATCCTTCAAAGTTACTTATATTTCCCAATCGAGACCTCAAGGATCATAAAACCCCTCAAAATATATTTTGGCGGGTAAATCCCGAATAAACTACCTTAAATGTCGTTCGTAATATCCTCGTAGTTACCCAGGTAGTTTGTCGGTAGCTGTCTACAGCACAGGAATATGTTTCAAATGCCTTTTTTAATGATAGGTATTATACATATGCATATTTTTAGAGAGATGTGTTTTCTGTGTTTTGACATTTTAGGGACAACTTTACATGAGACTCTTACTGTTACATTAAACTTCTTCAAGAAAGGACGCCGAGAGGCGAAAGGCAGGTTTTCAAAGAGACTGGGCAAAAAAGAACCAGACGTCAAAGAACAACATAAAAGAAACCGTGTCCGAGATCTCCTCAGGATCCTCTTGGTTAATTCGGCGGTTGTTGGGTTTGGGTTTCTTTACACACCGGTAAGAATTGATCGACCAATTTAATCAAAAGCCAATCCGTAGGTTGAACGAATTAATCAATAATTTAGTCGATGGACTAATCAATCGATTGTTAGTTAATTACTTAGTCAGCAAGTCCATAGCAACTTTTGTAAGAAAAAAAGTTTTTCAATAAAATGCTTTATCAAGTAGCAGACCTCGAGAATAGAGTCTACGTTGTAAATACTATCTTCCCTATTCTTTACAAGTACATGCTGTTTGTCCTTTCACAGATAATGACGATATATTCGTTACAAGCCACCGGACTCAACAGTACCGTGAACGGACATTTGTTTCCTTCTCCATCTACTCAGATCATATTATTCAACGAAGTGGTGATAGTGCTTGTTATCCCTTTTACCATCTACTATTTGTATCCACGGATATCGTCCAGGAACCAGCGACTGTATATATCTAGAACAAGTATGCACGTGTTCCTTTCTTACAGCTTTTGATGTACCCTCTCTCTACCCCACCCCTGCCCCCTTCCAAAGAGATATAAGTCTCACACACAAAATATAGGGAAAAAAAACTTTCTCCTGTCTCCTAAATGTTGTCGTCCACTTATTTAAAGCAATAATAACTCTTCCTTTGAGTTTCAAAATTCCGCAAGAAATACATTGTAAACAACGCATGGAAATATATTCTATTGCATTTACCACTAAAACAGCCGTTATTGTAGTAAAACTAAAATCTGTACTTGTCAATAGGGCTTTCGATGCCTTTCTTCCCGGTCGTCAAGGCATCCGTTGCCAATGACGTAAGGGTGTCACGCAGATTCTCGCGTTCATTCGAGGCCAGAATAACATTTGGCGCCAAACCCCTGATGCGATACGCAGACGTAAGTTGCAAGCTTTTGCAAGTCCGATAACGAAAAGCCCAGAATAAGGTCGCGCGTCAAGGTTATTTTCAGTTGCACCCTGGATTACGCACGCTTGCTCCGCAAGGTGTCGCCTGTGGTGGGGGGGCATCACAGCCCATATGGTTACTGTGGTGAAGGTGACAGGTACTTCCAAACATTTTTTCATAACTGTCATTTTTCCTTATTCTATTCATGAATTTGATATTTACGGCAATTGAAAATGTGGCACCGGCAAAAGTGAATCTAGGTGCGTTGACAGGCCGCACAGGTGTCCCCAATTAACCGCCGCCAGAGAAGAGACCCCAAGCATTAAACAACACAACCGGTAGATATTGGAAATTTGGAGAAAGTTAAGCAACTGAGGCTTTATTAGATTTGGACAGAAATCGGGGGTAATGCCCAGTGACATGCCAAACCCGTAAGTTCAAGTCTTGGCCCTTGACACCTGTAACGCACCCCTTAGTCAAGAATCTGAACAAATCAATGTTGGGCAGGTACAGGGTATACTCTATTTTCTACAGGTGTTTTGTGATTTTATCAACTTGATTGTCAAGTGCCAGACCTTTTGTTCTCAGGTACTAGTAGCAAACTTTATCAGATAACAATCTGACACTAACCAAGCTGCACTAACAGCGCTGTAAACCCAGTTAACAATGCTGTCATCTTTACCTGTATCTTTACCGGTATTATGCCAG